GGTGCTGGTGTATGGGAGGTGGGAGCGGCCGCAAGGCTTTGGCAAAGATAGGAAAGTTCCTCCAGGCATCACCGTAATAAAACAATGTCAGGTTGACCCTTCGGAATTGTTCCTTTTTTGTGACAAATCCTGGCCATCGAGGCCGAGAGAAGCGAACTCCCAAAAATCAAGCAGTAGAGCACACGTAGTCTCGGCCGGCAAACGCTTTACGTCCAAAACGCATACCAGGTGTTATTAAAAATCCTAAGCTCAAAAACAGCCGGCTAGACACGTTCGTGTCATAAAGACATTAGTGCTGTGCACTAACAACTAAATAAGAAACATTTCAAACAGGAGTATTTCAAATTAAGTAAGTCTTTTCAATCAGAAACTCGAGACTCTCCTTCCTAAGTTTCAAACTATCAGAATCTCGTCTAATTCCATTGACCACTCCAGCACATTTCCTTCCAATAATAAGGTCGGACACCGCTTATCGCGTTCCAGAAGCAAAAACCTCCGCGGCATCTCTCAGCCGCAGTTCCCCCTTATTTCCCGTCGAATTTCCCCGCAGATAAAGCTTATTAAAATCAGCAGCCCGACGGTGCGCGGGGATCGTAAAATCCCCGAAAACGCGTCGCGTAATCAGATTTCGAAGCTGCGAAAAACTTAATGAACCGTTCGCGCGGTTTAGTTTCGCGACGCAGCGGCGGCGGGTGGAGGAAGCGAATTACCATCGTTGAAGATCGCAGGAACCGTGGCGGTGGTCGGATCCTTCCGGGGTATAATTCTATCTTGAAAATCGCGCTAAGATTGGACTCTCCCCCTCGCGGTGGTCGGAGAAGGGACTCCGTCCTAATTGGAAAAATTGAATCATCCGTATCGTAATAATCGCGGACGCGTCGCGACTCTCCGACGACAATGAACGGATAACGCAAATATTCCCGGGGTATACGTTGTTGAAGCCCGCCTCGAAATATTTGGGTAATGAAGAATAATGCGCGACGCTAAAACAAACTCGGGTCCCTGGCCGCTTAAACCTTGAAGACGCTCGGTCCCACCCTCGGCGGCCCCCCTCGACTCGCCAGGTTTCCGCGCTATTCAGCTCGCACCTTCTAAAAGATATACCAACACGTATATAGGTATAGCGTGACGTTAGGACGACGAGAAGCTTCTCTCTTAGCCAAGCATTTAAACGGTCCACGCAATTAGGGAAGGCGCTTCGCGCCTCATGTTTTATTCATACCGACTCCGGCCAGGCTCTCTCCGCGCCTTGCTTTCGACCCCCAAAGATTAAAACCGAAGCACGACAACGGCCGATGCCCTGGCTACAACCTGGACATATTAAATGGCCAGGTTGCACCTTCGATCGGCATCACCTGTGTAAGTCAGGCTACGACCGAGAACCGATCCCATTCTACCCACCCACCCCCCTCTCCAGCTCCCCCAGTTTTTTGGACTTCGTTTTTCGTCCTGTATCGCCTCTTGACAAGGTAATGCCTGGTTCTTTGGTTACTTGTCGTTTACCTTAGCATCCCGTGACCTATCATTTCTTTCGTAATTTATGACCGTGAGTCGCACATTGTTTCTTTTCTCTGCGCTCTCGCTGTCTCTCATTGCTTCTCTCCCCCTCGCTCGCTTTCAATCGAGGGAGACGACTATTTGTAACGATGACAAGCGAGGGGAACGGTCGGAGTGTCCGTAGCAGCGGCAAACTTCCCCGCCAGCTAGTCCCAGGGGCGAGGAAGTTTCGCGAGGGTGCGAAGATTTTAAAGGTGTTATGATTATTCGACTCGTTTTTAATTTTAAATGAGCCTCGATGCGCGCCCGCGCCCGCGGCCGTGCCCGCCATTTGTTTTTTAATGACGATTGAAATTAGCCCCCGGCTGCCGCGTCCTCCTCCCGGGAACAAGGAAACGGATTAAGAGTTGCGAAATTGGATTCTGCGAGTCGGACGTCGCGCCGAGTTCACTTTCATTCGGCGCTTCCTCTGTTTGCCGCGTTAAATTCGCGTTTGAAACAAATACGGGGCAAGCTTTTTGATCGAGTGTCACGATTGCTCGTTTACGGCGAGATCGTAAGGAGGATTTGGGTCCACTGGGAGCATAAACAACGGCGCTCTCTGCGGGCTTATTCTAACAGTGTCTTAAAGAGTTCGCGAACTTCTGAAAATTGGCCGGGAAGTCATTTGTAAAACAGAGGTTTCGAGCGGTGCTGCAGAAGTGTAGAGAGTTCGGTAGAGAAGTGCGGAGAGTTTGCTACTGCGACACCGCCCTTTGTTGGTCGCTGAACACAGGCATTGGGCGAAATTTAATCAGCCTCCGTTTATGGTCCCTTTGAATCTACTGACTCGATGAATTGTTATCGTCAAAGGTTTCAAATGTCAACACTTTCTCTCGCAAACGACAATTGGTATCATTGTAAAGTGATGACTAACTGGGTTCTTAGCGGAACCAATGGGACTGGCGAATCTAGCTGACCAATTTAGGTTCAATCAATTCGCTATCCTTCTCGCGTCGAGCATAACTCCGGTCGTTGCTCTTGAATCGATACGAGAATCAATAGTGTCATTGGTAATTGCATGGCATGTACAAATTCTGGGAAGAATACGCTACGATCAGTTTCAGATTTTTTAGTTGACAAACCTAGTTTCGAAAACCAAAACTTTCGTATTGAAATTTAAGAGTTATATACATCGTTTATATTATTACAGTGGACAATTCTCCATAATTGACGCTCAAATTCTACAAAAAAATGGACAATTTGGGAAGAGAACGTACTATTGTCCGAGCCTTGCGGCTCGATTTTATAGTTATTATCGTCAACAACTATAAAAACGAGAGGCAAGGATCGAATAATCGTATGTTCTCTTCCCAAATTGTCCATTTTTGTGTACAATCTGAGTGTCAATTAGGCAAAATTTACTGCATTGATCTCGAAATTGCTCAGACTTCTTAATAAGGTCCGTGATTTCTTATAAATAGAAGCAAGCAAGGTACTCCAGGATTATTATTTCCTAGGAAATAATAATTAAATATATAATAATATATATATAATATAATATTATATATATATATATATTAATATAATAATAATAATAATTATTATTATTATTATATTATATATATAATATTATAATAGTAATAATATAATATAAATTATATATATATATATAATAATAATAATAATAATAATAATTTCCTAGGAATATTAATTTCCTGTAATGTTGTGATGCCCTGGCAGGAATCCTTGATTTTAATTAAGACATTCGCGATCGCAGTCTCCGTGTCGCGGTCAAAGTGCGCGAAGAGCTCACGTGACGCAAGTGATTTGAAAAGTTTCGAAGTATCACTTACACAGCCCTCTATTCTGCGGTATCTACTCTCTCTCTCTCTCTCTCTCTCTCTCTCTCTCTCTCTCTCTCTCTCTCTCTGAATTTCATTAAACGACCAAACTCGTGTTTCTTTTTTCCCCGGTGGCCGCTTTGATCGCGGATCCGTTACGCAAGATCAAGGGTGCAAGTTCTTCTGGGAAAGTTGCCGGTGTTCGAGGGCGCTTAAATTTATTATTGGAAAAATGAAAATATTAAAAGTTACCTGGTAGCTCGGCATTCGCGACGATATTGGAATTTACTTGAAAAAATTTTGATAAACAAGACGCGTGGAGGCAGCGCGCGGGGGTGGCGGCCCCACGCGGATACCGCCCCGGTTTAATTAATTCGTTACGTTCGGAAAGTACCGCGCGGGCCTTGGTTTGAGGAACAGCCGATCCCTAAAAGGTCCGAGAATAGATCGAATCTTTAAAGTTCATGGAATGGCCCCAGGAATGCCGCGCCCGATTATTCTTCGCCTCGATATCGTGAACATTCTTCGGGCGATGTCGAAGTTACGATCCTCCCCGAACTTCTGTCTTGTTTAATTCCTTTTTATGCCCGTCTTCCCGGGATTTAAGAATGCTACGATTTCATTAGCACTTACTCGGGGGGAGATGCTGAGATAAGATTTATTTTAAAACTGAGGCGGGGGCCGGAGAATTCTTTTATATCGAAATGCCTCGATATCGGGGAATCGATACCGAAGATTCTCATTTTGACGATCTTTCTACAACTCGATTCGATCTTTTCTGAAATTAATTCATCATGGGTGAAATGAAATCAATTAATTAATCATGAAATCGAAATTTCTGTATCAAGTATCTCTTTCTCTTTTTGTGCACGCGCTTTCTAATTGTAGGTACTATTTAATTCATCGCACGACAAAAAGATGTAATGATAATTAGACTGCGGAGCTTGGTGCAAAATGAAAATTCGTATTTCAATATTTCAATATCTTAAATTCGACTGTTTTAAATTGCTCATAGCCATTTTTGTCACAAATGCATAAAATCCGCAGTCTATTTCAATATTTCAATATCTTAAATTCGACTGCTTTAAATTGCTCGTAGCCATTTTTGTCACAAATGCATAAAATTCGCAGTCTATTTGTTACAAAATTGTGTCCTCTTTATCTATATTCATAAATTTCTAAATGCATTGTGATTTATTGTACAGTATACAATATTGTGCCTCACTCAAGCATAACCAAAATTCTAGGACAACATAATGCAGTAAATTCTCCCTAATTTTCCTTCAGCTTGTAAACAAAAATGGGCAATTTGGAAAGAGGAGATACAATTATTTGAGCCTCGCGGCTCCTAAAAACGAGGTGCAAGGTACGAATAATCGTATCTCCTCTTCCCAAATTGCTAATTTTTATTTACAAGCTGAAGGAAAATTAGGGAGAATTTACTGTAAATCCATAAAAGTAAACGCATAGTCTCGTAATCAGGTTGCAAATTTTGGTACAAATACAATTTTGTAGAGCGACTTACACGAACTGAAATATCAGAATTTATTTTATGTAGAAAGTTCTTTTTGCGAACAAGTATCCTGCAAAGAATGGTGCACGGAATACGAGCAGCGGAACTAGAATACTGGAGGATATTAAAAGCAGCTTCTAACTGCAGGTCTCTCTCATCTGTTTCAGATTAAAATCCGAGAATCTCGGTGGCGCGTGGTGTCCCAAGAATCAGATCACCCAGGAAGCCCGAGAATGGTTGGAGATTGACCTTCATACGGTTCACTTGATCACAGCCACCGCTACTCAAGGCCGTTTCGGGAACGGTATGGGTGTTGAGTATGCAGAGGCGTATCTGCTTGATTATTGGCGTCCGCGTCTCAAGAAGTGGGTCCGATACAGAGACATTAAAGGGCAAGAGGTGAGTACACGTATCCTAACTTGTCCCACATAAATGTTACCTGCCAAAAGTGATTTGACTGTATTTCATGAAACGATCATGCTTGGATAGCAATTCGGAAGATTTAATCTCTTTTCTTGAATATATTCAATCTCGCCAACAAAATGATACAAAATATTTTACCAAGTACATATGATTTACCGTACGAAATGATATTTAGTTGTCGTACAATCCTCAAAATATTGTATACTTCTAAGTATTTTATCATTTTTGGAAGCAACAATTTAAGGATTTTTGTTAGTCCATGCGATAGTTTCATTTAGAACATGTTCTGCCATCTAACTGAACAAGTAATTCATTAGTTTCTGCTTCGAAACTTCATCAAACACAATATATCTTCGTTTTGAAATGTTAATAGAATGCGTCGAGAAACCTTATTAACTGTACTTCGAACCTAAGTTTAACCCCTTGCACTACGATTTCTTTCAAAACTCCATTGATCAACACTTCTTCGTTCTTAATCGTTCTTCTGATAGAACGTCACAATTTTTGTCTCATTAGGATAACGCATAACTGTTTCGTTATTATTATCGTCAGTCGTCACAGACCGACCAACACATTTACATGAAATGAGAAATGTCGAAAATCACTTGAATCAGTTATTTGTAAGCGTAAGTAAGTTTTGTGAACGTGGAAACATACTGCTACCAGAAAGATGGCAAAAGGTATTGGACCAAAATGATCGATGTACAACTCAATATTTCAAATTAACACTATGCCGTCCGGTGGCACCACGCTGGTGCCATGCAAAAACTATCTGTTGTATGCCGGTGGTACCACTTTGGTGGCTTTTTAAAAAACTGAAATAACATTTGAACTATATTTCTTGGGTGTTAAAAGGCAGCAAACCAACTATAGCATCGTGCTTATTTAACTAAAAATTAAGTACGAAAATTCTTGGATGACTTATCTCAATTTTAGGAATTTATATTACCGCCATCTTCGACATTTTTGTTAAAATCTATAATTTCCAAGCTATTATGCCGGCGTCAAACAAAAGAATCGTATCTAAGATCTGCGGACGGCATAGTGTTAAGGTAAGAACTCAAGATAGACATTCGCAATCCAAATTCTAAAAAGTACGAAACTCCCGAGCTAAAATCTGAAAGTATTGCTGCGTTGTTATGAATCCAAAACTGTCGTTGCGGACCGGTAAGTATTGCAATCGTGGAATAAAGCAGTCGAATAATATAAAACAGTCCTATTCGGTCGATCCTGTATTGAACATTTACTACAACTGAAGTATCAAAAATTCTGTGCAAAGAACCGCAGTCTGCTTATGATTGATCAAATCCGGCCAACCTCGACCTCAGCCTGGGTCAAAAGCAACGTGTTTTCGAGACTGATGATCGAGACCGCTTCCACTTGCAGAAACGGTAACAGGGTCGCGACCAAAAGTGCACGCTTCTATATCGATAAAAAGCACTCTGAAGATGTAATTTATGTGCACGCTCGCGCGCATCTGCTCTCTTTCGCGATCGGCGTGCGTCCAGCTGCGCCCGGAATAGTCGAAACTGCGTTGGAATTGGCCGATCCGTCGCTGGTTCATTGGCCTGAAATAATAATTCCGTTCCGATTGAGATGGAGAGATTGTTATTCCTGGTGGTGACTCTTGAAGCGCAGAAGCCAGGCGAACGCGGTGTGCGCACGCCATCCCGCAAGTTCAAAGCGGGCTCTCGCTCGGCGATCAAGAATCGAAGACCGGCCGGAGGATTATCCCGCTCGAAGCGTAAGCCGCTTATCGCGAATCCGTAAGCTAATTTCGTGCCGGTGATGCACCACTTTGTCGAGCTCGGAAACAGAACCTTTGAGCTTTCTGTTCTGGAGTTTCGCGAATGGATTCTGACCGAACCGTGTCTCCCAAACCGATCTCGAAGCATTTACTATAGCGGCGAGTGTTCCACCAACCGAACTAATTATTCCTTGACTCATCGATTAATGCATTGCACATGTCTGTCGGAGCAATATCTGTTCGAGTTACTGGCGAGTCAGGATATCGAGCGAATATCCGACAATTTGATCAGGCGAGAAAATAGACGCTGAATTTTACTCGAACGTAGCAAATAGACTTCTGCTCCGAGAGATTCCGAATTTATTATCACGCTCAGCGAAGAATAATCGTTGGAATCGTTAAGAAGGAAGCTATAATGTCGTGCCATAAATTCAATTACGAAATGGTTACCGAATTAAAGTAATCACGAACAACGGTTACCGGACGCGAGGAGAGAAGGAAACTGCAAATTGGATCGTTTGCAACTTCCTGTCCCTGCGTTCCGCGGATAAAAGTTAAGGAAAATATGTCCGCGTAACACTCCTTTTTTTCTTCTCATTACACGGCAAGATTACCTATTAAAACACTGATGATATAATTGGAAGCTATACAGGTGGAGCCTGTCCTCTTAAGGAAGTTTCAAAATGAATTAATCATCCAATTAAGAAGCTTATCGAAGTACCGAGCGCGTTACAACGGAACGAGTGGGACGATAGATACCAGAACAGTTTTAACAAGTACCGGTTGAAAGTGGAGCCCCCGATGTACACGGCGCAGCTCGGTTCTAAGAGACTCGTAAGAAGCTCGCCAAGGGCGACACGACACGACACGACACGTTTTTGTTCAAGTTATCGTCTCTTTACGTCCGCCGGTGTTTATGGAGTTCGTCGGTGTTGCTGTTACGACGCTTTAAGTCTTAGCTGGGCGTTGTTCCCCCGGGTACAATTCCGGAGTGACGTGACAGTCATTAATGCACGAACCATCCCGGTCTCGGTTTACGAGGCTGGCTACCAGAGCGGACGATACGTTCGGAAAGTCGCCCGGCGAAAAAGCTTCGTCCAACTACCGAGGAAATTGACCGACCGATCGAACGTCTCCGCGCGTCTTTGCCGGACGGTTAGCATCTTATTAATATTGATGCACCAACTGCACCCACGATTAACGTGCCAAGGGACTGCGGTCTTGCCCTGCCATCCCCTATAGTCGGCCAAGTCGCGTGCTCCGCTTTGTAATTTTATGTAAACTCTAATTTCGACACCGACACCACCGTCGGCTGCGAACGCTGAATAGATGATGATTCGATGCTTACGATACTTAGGCTGATGGAGAATTTCCTACTATGTAACAATGTGGAACCACGGTACAGAGACTTTTCGCACTAATTCTCAATGGAACATGATTATATTTCAGGTGCCTCGAAGCGTCTACAGATACAAAGTAACCTGTGCATTTCAATTGGTTTATTGAACTTATCGAGAGTCATCGAACCTCTATTAAGTTGATCCAAACTTCTGGCGGTGCCATGAAGTTCGTCTGCACCCAGGGTAAACTCATAGAACGGATATACAGGGTGTCCCAGGTTTTAATGTTCAAACTTTGTTAGTGTATTCTATGGCACAGAGTAAGAAAAAAATGTTATGTAAACATAGGTCGTATAGAGCTTTATTAAGAAGTTATAACAAAAATTCAGAATAGGAATAGTAATAGTAATAATAATAATAATAATAATCGTAATAATAATAGTAATAATAATAGTAATAGTAATAGTAGTAGTAGTAGTAATAGTAAGTAGTAGTAGTAATAGTAATAATAATAGTAATAATAATAGTAGTAGTAATAGTAATCAACTTGCTGTTACTGCGAGCATTGGCTTGAATAGATCAGCACATGCTGTGTGTTTATGTAAGCTGCGTTTATTAATACATTTCTAAATGTATTAACAGCCGTTGTTGACAATACATGATTGACATCGATCGAAGATTTTTTTTTACTTTTTATTTTTTTTTTACTTGATTACTATTCCTATTCTGAATTTTTGTTATAACTTCTTAATAAAGCTCTATATGACCTATGTTTACAAAACATTTTTTTGCCATAGAATATATTGACAAAGTTTCAACATTAAAACCTAAGACACCCTGTATATAACGCCGACGTAACAATAGATTACATAGGTGTAGGAGTAGCACAGGGAAATTCGCAGTAGAACGAAATTTGGCATTTCCGGGAGAAATTACTGTACTTCATCGAGTTACTGAACCGGCGTAAAGACAGGATTTATATTTTGTATCGTATTAGGTTGGTGCATATGAAATGTCGGATTTTCTTTACATGTGAACGTTTGTCTCCCTGTTTTCGTTATGCTTTTATTTTTGGCATAACCTCGTTTATAGTCGTCACATTTCAACAAAGAAGATTTTCTCAAAAGTGTTCCATTTTGTTATTTGTTTTGAATTTCGTAAGGATATGAATTCAATCGATATTCGCGCGTGTGTGTAATTTTTTTGTATGAGTGTAAACTTGGTAATAACGCTGCAAAAGCTGCAGTTGGTTTGAAAATCTTCGATCTGGTGATTTTTCCCTACAAAATGAACCGCGTGAAAAACCCAAAACGTCTGCGAAAAATGACGCTCTGAAAGCATTGGTGGAAACGAACGTGACTGGAGTAATTCACTACTCGTTCCTTCGAACTGGTGAAACAATTACATTCGAAAAGTACTGCCAGTACACTGATGAAATACATGAAAAATTGAAAATTATACGCCCATCCCTTGCTAATCGGCATGGCCCAATATCTCTCCATGACAACGCTCGGCCGCATACGTCGTACAAAACAATTGAAAAATTAAATGAATTAAAATATGAAATTTTGCAGCACCCAGTTAACAGTATGAAAATGAAGACAGTCTGAAAAATTCCATATCAGAGTTTATCGATTTTAAAGATTAAAATTTCTTTAAGACAGGCATCTATGCATTAAAATCTCGCTGGAAAAAGTGTATTGATGCAAATGGAGTATATTTTGATTAAATAAACAGCTTTTGAAAAAAGATATGCAGTATTACATATTCACTTAAAAATCCGACGTTTCATACGCACCAACCAGCATGAAATTGGAATAGAAATCGGCAGCCAGAAAGACTGTTGAAGCAGCATGATCTCTGAAACAATATATCGGATACGGTGAAAG